GTGTGTTCAGAACTATGTGACTGAGTGTGCAAATGAGAATATTGTTCCCAGGACCAGTTTGTAGTGGATTTGTGGTAGTTTTTGTTGTTTTTGAGTCTTTTGATGATTATTGTAAGGTGTTTGTAGAGGTGTATGTTTATATCAGTCCTTTTGTGGTAGTGAGTTGAGGGCTATGACTGCTTGGGGGAAGAAGCTCTTGCAGTGTCTGGTCATTACAGTTTTAATGCTGCGAAACCGTCTGCCAGATGGAAGGAGGGAGAACAGTGCATGTGAGGAGTGGAAAGTGTCCTTCACTATGCTGTTCGCACGTCGAATGATGTGTCTGTCATAGAGTTGGGAGATGGATGTGAGAGGGCTTCCAGTGATGCTCTCTGCACTCCTCACTATTTGCTGCTGAGACTTCTTTTCAGCGAGGGTGCATTTCCCATACCAGATAGTGATGTAGTAAAAGTAAAATGATGTGAGGATAGGAGGAGGGAGACTGGCCTTCTTCAGTTTCCTAAGAAAGTGAAGACGTTGTTGGGCTTTCTTCATGATGGTGGTGGTGTTCAGGTTCCAGGAGAGGTCAGCTGATATGTGCACACTGTTGACCATTGTTGACCATCTGTTGACCATCTCAACAGCAGATCCGTTGATGTGCAGTGGGGTGTGGGCCATTGAGGTCTTCCTGAAGTTAACAACCATCTAAATGTTCAGAAGACTAATGAGAGACAGGTTGTTATTCTGACACCAGTCCACCAGGTGCTGTACCTCTTCTCTGTATTCAGACTCATCAGTGTTGGTGACGAGACCCACCACTGTTGTGTCATATGCAAACTTGATGATGTGGTTTGAGCTGTACTGTGCAGTACAGTCATGTGTGCTCAGTGATGTGTTTAAGGATGTCAATGAGGATGCCTGCGAGCTTGTCAGCACACTCCCGAAGCACCCGGCCAGGTATGTTGTCAGGTCCTGCAGCCTTTCGCGGGTTTACTCTGCGAAGTGTCATCCTGAAATCTGCTGTGGACAGACAGAGTACTTGGTCATTGGGGGAGGGGGGCATCTTCCTTGCTGGCTCTTTGTTCTCTGCCTCAAAACATGCAAAGAAGTCATTTAGTTGGTCTGGCAGAGAGGGATCCCTGCTGCATGCTGGAGGTGTTGGCTTGTAGCCCATGATTGTTTGGATGCCCTGCCACATTCGCCGAGTGTCCTTTGTACTTGTGAAATGTGTGTTGATCTTATCTGCATACTGCTGCTTTGCGTCTTTGATGGCCCGTGATACATCTGCTCTGGCTGTAGTGTAAGCTCCTCTATTTTTGGACTTAAAGGCAGAGTCTCTGATTTTCATCAGGTTGCGTGGCTTTGCAGAGAACCAGGGTTTATGGTTTGCAGATCACGGTTTTGGAGACAGTGACATCCTCAATGCATTTGCTGATGTAGCTGGTCACTGAGGTTGTGTACTCCTCCAGGTCCACGGTGTCTGAGTATGTAGCAGCTTCTCTAAACATATCCCAGTCTGTGCATTCAAAGCAGTCCCCATGCTGATATGCATGCTTGTCTTTGACAACCAAAATAAAACCCAAAGTAATAACTAACTGTAATATTTACAATGAACAGTTTTCATCATTGGATCAGTACAGACTGCTGCAGCATGGAATCCAGCCAAGACCACAATGGTACGTCTCATCCTCACGTTTGTACTATTCTATAAATAAAGTATAAATATAAATATGTTTTCTATTGTTACATAGTACAAAAATATCAACGATGTCATGCTTTTTCTTTTCTTAGCTTGAAAACCAATTTCAAAAACTGAATGCTTTTCAGTATGCGAACGTTACTGGTTCAAGGTACTGTATTTTACAAAGAAATATGTTATATAAGTTACCTTTTTGATTTTGTGTTTGTTTTTTATCAATGTTATTTTTTTTAAAACAACATCACTTATTATTGGGACACCACTTATAGTCACCAACTAAACTGTTAGTTATTATAGATGAGTTTTTTGTAAATGATTCTACCTGAGTTAGCTAATGTCTTCAGGGCTGTTTCAGAGACCTGAGCTTCAAAGCTGATTGGTAGATGGGAAACCCTGAAACCATTTCAAAGAATTCTATGTAAAACTCTCATCATTTCAGTAACTCTGTGCATACCTGATGACTAGTGTCAATAGCTGTTCCCTGGCAATAGAGGGGACAGCACTTGAAAACTGCATTCATTAATTTTCTTTTCTGCATTTCATGGTGCACAAAAGTGATTGCGAAAAAGATCAATCTTAGGATTCCAAAGAGACTGTCCAAATACTTTTTGGAGACATTGCAATATGTAATATAATGTCGGTTTTAGACACTTTTGGAGACTGACAAAATTTATTAGATATGCACAGTAAATAAAACTTACTGTTTGTACTGTAATGTTTGTTTTTTTTTAATGTCGATAACAAGTCCTTTTTCCATCATTCTCTACAGAAACATCTCCACATCCCCACCACTGGTGTATGTTGACTTTGAGGTAGCTGTCAGTGTCAGAGTGCTGACTTATAAACTTCAAGACATAGTCAAAAATCTTACAAGTCTGCTTACAGCTACTATATTTGTGGACACTTTAGGTCAGTAAAAAATTATTTATACTATTCTTTCAATTCCTGTACAACTTGATCTTCTAATCTATATATTTCTCTGTACCAGAGATTTATGACATTTGTTTGTCTATAAAAATATAGAGTTTGTGTGCTCCAGATATGGAGTTATATTAAGTATCATACCTCTTTTTTTTGGAATGTGCATTATGGGTATTGTGTTTTTGTATATGTTACCCCATATTTCCACACACTAATCCAAGTATGACAAAATAAGTAAGCAGTATGTGTGTACCTCCTCTTTGACTCCCATCACCCTCTGGAACACAAACTTGGAGTAATTAGGACCCTACA